CTTCTATCCAATGGAGATCATGTTGGGAAATTGGGAGGAATACAATCGTTGATGTAATTTAGTCCCTGGCACATAGTAGGTGTTACTATACAGTAGCTCTTATTTATGCACCCAGTGAGCAGGGGTTGAGTGAGCACTGCAGTGTGCGGGCCCTGCTCAGGGAACTGAGAATTCACTGGGGAAAGAAGGCCAGGTGCAGTCCTCATCCCCAGGGACCCTAGAGTGTTAATCAGAGGCCTGAATGAGAATCACAAACAGATCTGCTCTAAAGGGAAGAATGGGGTCCTGCGAATGCCGGGAATACGGAGAGAGGAGAACAAATGCAGAGACTTGGGGGGGAAATGGACAGAATTGGATGCCACGTTGGGCGATGGGGGAGAGAAGGTGTCAAGGATGGAGTCCTGGCTCCCGGGTGGGTGAGCGGGCGGAGGAGTCCTTCACGGGGAGGGCTGGGAGGAGTCGGGGCTGCAGGGGGAGCTCACGAGTCTGGACTTGTTCATGGCAGGTCTGTGATGCCTTTGAGGATCCCCACGTGACACAGAGTTGGGAGCCAGGTCTTGCTCTACCAGCCCCAGGCTGAGACGTCCTGAGGGATCCAGAGGAGAAAGGCCAGTCCTTCCCTCAAGGGCTCACATGTGGGGCCCTGTGGACCTTCACAGGTGGAGATTGTCACTGGACAGAGAAGACACCCCTACCCTGTTGGAGTGCAGGGGGGAGGTCAGGCCAGTCTTCAGGGTCACCTCTGGGCTAAGCCCTGGAGGAAAAAGATTCACTAGACAGGGAAGGGGAGGACGCGGAGGGCGAGGGGCTGGCCTGCGGAGACCCAGGTGCAGGGAAGACAGCACCCTATAGTCAGGAAACTGGGGGGAGGAGCATTAGGGTCCCTGTGGCCCTGGCACCTGGGAGGAGGAAGCAGCAGGGGAAGCTGGAGCCACAGGAGTCTGAGCAGGAGGGGCCCGGGATGCCAGGCGCGAGGTTCACATTTCAGTGGCAGGCCACGGGGACTCAGTGCCCTGTCCTGTTTCAGCAGGAGCGTGTGCTCAGGGCCACTGTGCTTTGGGACAATGCCAGGGTGCAGAGACCCTGGCAGCAAAGAGATCAAGTGCAGCTGAGAGCGGGGCGACTGCAGTGGAGATGGCAAGAGGTGGGTGGACCCAAGCAGCCTCAGGGGGACTGAGTGGACTTTGGGCCCATGAAGGGCGATGGCCATCCATTCAGGGGACAAGGCTGGCAACTGCAAAGGTGGAGAGGAGGGAACAGCATAGGACAAGGCAATGTCAGTCCCAGTATGATATACATCTACACGTACTCCCCACCCCACCACACACAGGCACACAGACGCACAGACACACACGCACACACATGCTGCCCAGTCCCAACCTCCTTCAGTCTTCAGTGGACTTGGGGGTAGTAACTGAATCACACTTGGACGAAGCTTGTGTTCTCATCTTTCTGCTCCTTTCAGTTACGTGGGTCCCGACTCTGGCTGAGCTTTGTGACCTTGACCAAGCCACTTAAACTCTCTGGACCTCAGTTTCTTCCTTGTTAAGAAAAAAGCTGGCATTGTGCTCTTTGTCACACTATGGTCCAGGGGCTTATTAATAAAAATAACTAAAAAATATACTGATTACTTATTATATGCTAGGCATCACACTAAACACTTACAAGCTTTATGTGATTTAATGTAAAACAGAAATAACCCTATTTCTGTTACTGTTCCTAGTTGCTCCCAGATAAGGAAACTGAGGCTCCCAGAGGTGAAATAACGTGCCCAAGGGCACCGAGCTCATTAATGGCAAAGCCATCTATCTCATGCTCTACTGGACAACCCACCCCCATCCCAAACTTTGGCACATCTAGAACATGCCTTCAAAAATCTCCACTTCCCCAGGGTGGGGAACCACTTTATTACAAAGTCCCCTCTTTGCAATGACAGAACATGGAGACCAATGAAACTCTCTCAGTTTCGACATGGTTTTGGAAATCAATGGGCTGTGATTGTGAATCCAGCGTCTGTCAACAGCCGCCTAATTTTAGCTGGATCTTTGCAGGATGCTCACTGGGCTTAGTCGCCCCCGTGGCCTGGCAAAGCAGTTCTGAGAACATCATTGATTTTTGACTCAAGTGTCCCCATGAAATACAAACCCGCTGTTACTCAGAGAGTCTGCCATGTGGCACAGGAGAAATGCTACCAGGAGAACAATAACCGGAATTTCATTGTAAAGCCTGCCCTCTTGTACCATGTCCCTCCCACCTCTTCTCTGCTTTGATCTTGGCCTCACGGCTCAGACCTGGAAAATATGTGCCTTTTGCTGTCCCTACTTGGTCACAGAGCAATAGGTGAAAGGCATCAGTAAGGTGTTAAAGATACTTCCGTTGTGGGCAAGCTCCCGATTACAAAGGCCCTTGTAAGTGGATTAGCACCTGTTTGTTTACGGGAACGGAGTTTGGGGGAGGGTGATTGGGTGCTTCTCTGCAGGGTTACTCCACCCCAGTATGAGTGGCTGAGGTCATGGGGGGAGAACCCAGGGCCTCAGAACAAAAACACAGTCCTTGCATAGCAACAGCCTCTCTTGGGCAGAGTGGACAGAAAGTGTGTCATCACACAGCCTTTCCCCAGGCAGGGGCTTTCCAGGAAACTGGAGGGGAGGAAAACACCAGCCACCCCTAGGACAGGTGCTTGACTGAGGCTGGACATCACATCTGAGTGGGGCAGGCTCTGAGGGTCCAGCCTGTCATTCTGGATATGAGGCCCTGACCCCCAGAGGGGAAAGGCAACTTGTTCTAAGGCCACACAGCAATTTGGTGGCAGAAAGTAGACACTGATGTCCCTTACTTCAAGGTCATCCTTCAGTGGCAGGCCCAGAGCTCCCACGCTGGCAATGCCAGTGTTCATCACAGGCTAGGGAGTGGGTGAGCGAGCGAGCAAATGAGGCAGCCAACGTGGCAAAAACGTGGGTGGTGATGGAACATGTGCCGCACGGGCTCTGCAACCACTTGGCCTGGGTTTAAATGGAATGGGAATCCCACCACTTGCTGTGTGACCATGGACAAATAATTGGATCTCTCTGAGACTCAGTTTCCTCAGCTGTAAAATGGGGTTATGTTAGTATCTACCTCACAGGGTCGTTGAGAGGACTAACTGAAAAAAAGCAAGTTCAGCATCTAGCACAGCATTAGAAACATAGAAAGGAGCTAAAATAACAGTTATTCATACTAGAATTATTTTTCACCAATGACCTATTTGTTTTATTCTAAGATGCCACTTATCAAAAGATAGACCATCAATTAACTTAGTAACAGCTTCTGAAGGGGAAAGAAAGCAGAAAGATGAAATTAAATGTCTAGATCAACTGAAAGAAACATTTTGTTTTGGAAATTTTAAAAACATATGTTCCAGAATTAAAGAGATGCACTATTAATGTCAAAAGGTTGTTTCTAGATTCAGATTCCTGGAACGCTCCCACTAACTGCCACAGAGAAAAACCGCAGCTGGCTCAGCGGCCTCAGGGAAGGCCCTCCCCTCTCTGACCTGTTTCTAACCTTGACTCTGAACAGGTGAGATTAGGTGATCCTTTCTAGCCCTGGATCTGGCAGAAGAGTGAAGTCCTTCGCTGCAAAGGTGAGGGCTTGTGGGGCGGGGCCTTCTTACTCCATTCAGGGCAGGGCACAGGGCCAGAATCCACCTCTCCCAGTGGCCTCCTTACCTCAGGCCCCTGAGCAAAGAGCTTCTAAGCAGAGACCATGTTTCAGGCCTAGGAATCTGGGCCTCCCGAGGGCAGCCAGCCCATCCTCTCACCTCCAACCTGTGTGTTTTCTGGAGGCCTCTACCCACCCTTGGCACAAGCCCATCCTCCGCTGTACCCACCGCCCCCTGCATCCTGGACTTGCTCGCAAGATTTCTGGAAGGCAGACCCTACGAGCAAGCAGCCCCTCCCACTTGGGGTACTTCCGGGGCAGCCTGTGGGGGTAGGAAGGGAGGGTAGGAGGGCAGGAGCCAGGAAGGAGGGGGAGGGGAGAAGATAGACTGCGAGTGGGTGTGTTTATTGCCATTCGCTTCTGGTTACCTTTAAACAGGAGAAAATTACACACTAATCCCCTTTCTCTCCATGCAGTGCTTCTAAGAAAGGAGAACCTTGACATTCTTGGAGGAAAAAATAGGGAAAAGATGAGACACATAATATCCAGAATAAACTGAGGATGGAGACATTTCAGTGAGGTCATGGGCTAAACTTCCTCAATGTCTGAAAAATAAAACCATGGCAGGGTTTGGTGGTGACAGGGGGAAGAGGATTCTGGGAGGAAAGCCCAGCTCCGAGGTGGAACAACGGCCAGTGGGGGAGGGAGTGGGCGGCTGCTGGGCTCTGCTGGGGCAGGGGGTCTGAGACATGCAGGTGGGGTGGGGGATAGGGGGGTTGGTGCAAGAACTCTGGGGCCCGGGCTCCCCAGAATCTGCACCTGTTAACCCCCCCATTGGCTTCCTAACCCTTTGCAAATTGGCTCCTGGCCCAACTTGCTGGTGAAACTCTGTGTTAAGGTCTCATCAGCTCCTGACCTTGCCCCTCTCTGCCCTCTTCCTGGTCATCGGTGACCCCCTGCCATGCTGCGTCGGGGCATTGGGACCCTTGCAGCCTGTCCACGCCTTCACCTCTCCTCAGCCCATCAGGAGGCCACCGCTAGGCCTCCTAAGGACATTTACTAGTAGGAGTTAGCCTCCGCCTCACTGAATGACAATTTAACCCTTTGAGTACTTAGAAGTCATCCTGATTCCCGCTTTTCCCTCACATCCCACAATGAACCCACCAATAATCTCACTGGATCCATTTCAACATACGTCAAGAACCTGTCCCCTTCTTACTGCCTGCATTGTGATCATGTGATCACCCTGGCTCACACCACCACTATCTCTTTCTTTTTGGTATCTTTTTCTTTTGCGTTGTTTAATTATTTTTAAATTTTTTTATTGTTCAAATATATTTGTCTCCATTTTCCCGCCACTAAAAAATATGGAACGCTTCCAGAACTTGCGTGCCGTCCTTGTGCAGGGGCCATGCTAATCTCTGCATCGTTCCAATTTTAGTATATGTGCTGGCGAAGCGAGCACGCCACCACCATCTCTTGCCTGGATAACAGCAAGAGCCTCCAGACCGGTCTCCCTTCCTCTTCCTTTGCAGTGGGCAGGGTGGTCCTGCTAAACCTGAGTTACCCCATGTCATCCCTCTGTCTCTAAACTCTGAGACCTCTTGTCATTCTTCTCCACCGAAATGCTGTGAGGGCTCCCCATTTCCCCTATCTCATTCAGGCCATGAGGATCTGTCCCCAGGGGACCGCCAGTGGGTCTCTGTCCTCCTCTCCCGTTACCCGCCTCTTCCCTCCTTCTCTTCATCCTTGTAGCCCCCTTGCTCTTCCCTGAGGCTCCAGGACACCCCTGCTGTGACCTTAGCACCGACTTTTCCCGCTGCCCCCTCCACACGGCTGACTTCTTTCCCCTTTTCAGTCTTCTCTTCATGCCTCCTTCTCATCAGGCAGCCCTTGGCTACGTTATTAACATGTCATGTTTCCCTGGGAATTCTCACCCCCCTTGACTTTGCTTCATTTTTTCTTTTTTTCCTGGTGCTTAAATAAAACTTACTTCTTTATATTACCATTGTTTATGATCTGTCTCTTCCTCTCAGAATATTAGCTTCATGAAGATAAAAAAAATTATTCCGTCTACTGCAGTCTCCCTAGAGCCTAGAACCACACTTGTCACACAGTAGGCCCACAATAAAAAACAACTGTGGGAAGAATGAATGAATGCAGGAGTGCGCGGCATCCAGGCTCTGCTCCAGGCCACAGCCTGTGCTCAGAGCCCCCGGGTCCGCCAGCTTCGCCGCATTTCAGCCTCTTGGCAGAGTGAACAGCTTGGTGCTGGAGCATTTCCTTGCCTGATAGAAGAGGGAGAATATTCTCTCCCATTTTTTCATCCTTTATCGCTGTTTGCAGTGAGTTTCTACCCTCTCATTAACGAGGCCAAAGTTAACTGTCCAACAGCTCAGGACAACGAGCCACAGCCCAGAGCCTCTCTTGTCACAGGGCCTCCCTGACCTCGACCCCGCCTGGCTGATGAGGACCCTGCCGCACTGGTATAAGGTGCGGCTGGCTGGACGTCCCAGGGATGGAAAGGCTGTGGAATCAAAGCTGGCAGAGTTCAGAAGCTTCCATTCCTGACTTTAGTCTCAGCTCTAAGGTGTCAGCACCTCAACTCGGTCAACTTTGCAAACTCCTTGTTCCTACTGCAAGCAGTGAGACCAGCAGCCTAATGCACAGGCCCTTAGTCCCTGGTATAGCGAGAGATGCCATTTCTCTGCCACCAGCAGGCCCATTTCCAATTCACTTAGGCCTTCAGCCGCCAGTCGGTGTAAGCCATGACTGACAGCTGTGGGTTTGCGCATGTCTTCTGATATCTCTGGGGGCAGCCCTGTCTCTCCTCCCTCCTGGTGGAATGAGCTTATCTTCTCTGCAGCCACTTAGGCCCGACTCTCTCCTTGAATCTTTATGCAAGCCTATTAGGGAATCCAACTGACTGCCAATGCTGGGCACCTAATAAAATCCCGAGTCTGAATGACGTCACAGGACCTGTTCCTCTTCTACTGGTTCTCACTCTACTTTGTCGGGGAAGGCTCTGGTTTCAGTTATGTTTAATGGGCCCATGCAGCAACCGCAGAGACAGGGGAGCAAGCCAGGCCCTGGACCCCAAAATAGAAGGAAGAAAGACAAGAATCAAGGAGTGAGTTGCGTCTGGGCTGTGGTGTGGCTGACACATTAGGACCCTTAGGTCATCCCTGAGGCCTCTCTTCCTTGCTCCCAGGTCAGCATGTACAATACACTGCTGGACTCTGTCCACCTCCCTTATCCGGGCAGCTGTCATCCTGGTCCATGCGTCACCATCTCTCTCCTGGGCAACCCAGTGGTGTTCTAGCTGCCTCCCCTGCCCCCCAGTGTCCATCCTCTGCACAGCAGCCAGAGTGGTCAGGCCCTTCCATTTCCTCTGAATCCCCCCAGTTAGAGGTGGGTAGACATGCGGCTTTAACTGCAGAGACTCCCGTGCTCTGGGCCCTGGCGGGCAGGGCGCGGGGTGGTGAGGAGGCAGCACGGTGGTTAATGAACATCACTGGTTCACGGATTCATGGGGTCCATAGTTGCTCAAGAAGCTTTAAAAGGCCCTGAAATCTCACAGCTTCTATATGGAAAAACAAAAAACAAAAAAACACCTTCACAGAGGTTTTTCCAGGTTTGACAACAAATCCTAAAAATTTATAGGACAATTCATCAATAATGAATTGCAGTGATGAAAATAAAATGTTCCTAAACCATCAATAATAAAAAAAAACCCAATTTCCATCAAACTCTGCTAGAGGAAAGGCTAAATTATCTTCCTATCCTCGCTATAGAAAACGCTACCATAAATTATTGCCATAAAAGATGTAATCTGAGAGGACGCAACTAAAAAATGTAAGGAAAAAATTACTCTTGGAGGTGTATCAAGATGCTCGTTCAAAAATGTGTTGTTGTTTTTCTCAATTTTGTACTGTTTTTGGTAATTTTTACCTTTTTAAATCTGAACTTTATTATGATTTGTTTTCTTATTTGAAATAAATATTAAATTATGTAGCTAATTTTGATTCCTAATTCTGGGCTCTTCTAAAGATAATACCCCCAATTGTGTGTTTCAGATCCCAAGAAATGTGGAGCCACTGCCTTCCAGGGCTTCCTACTGCACTTGCAATAAAAAAAAACCCCACCCCACGGTGTGAGTCCTGTCTGCCCCCTCTCGGCCCCCTCCCCAGCCCTGAACCTACCACTCACCAGGCTGCAGACTCATGGCTCTTCTGCCTGTTCCTCTAACTGCTGCATCTCCTCCCTGAAAACTCTTCCCTCAATTTTCCCTTCTGGTTTTTCAGGGCTTACTCAAGACCACCTCCTCTGAAAAGCCCTCAGGGACAAGCTTATTTAGAGACCCCTGTCCATCCCACCTTCCCTCATCACTGCTTTCCCTCTCTGCTTTGTTTAATTCTCAATGCACATTTCTATCTACCTGAAGGTATAATGTCCTTCCGCAGTTTCTATCTCCTTACCCCTCCTGCGAGCAGGGCCATGTGTGCCCAGGAGGGCAAGGTCATGTCTGTCTTGTTGATTGTGGCCTCCAGCACACAGAACAATACCCAAATCATAGTAAACATACCATGTTTATTTGCTCAATTAATAGACTGTTGTTTAGAGTTTGAACTGACACCTTCTTTCTGGAAGGTGAGTTGGCATTCTGTCCCAAGAGCCATGAAACGTGCAAGCCCTTTAGCCCACAATTCCCACTCCTAGATGTTAATTCCAAGGCAATTATCAGAAAGGCACACAAAAAGGGAAGCCGGCTGCTGGCAGAAACCATGGGAATCAATCAGATCTTTGTTGTTGTCTGGACTCCACCAATCAAAAAGCTTCTGTGTGAACCTGAGCAAGTTTCTATTGTCCCTGAGCCCTGGCTTCTTCATCTGTAAATGGGGATAATAATCCCTATGCAGAGGGAAGCTTGAGGCTGATATGAGGTCATGCATGGAAGGTGCTGAGCACAGAGCCAGGTGTATGAAAAAGCTCTATATGCGTATGCCGACGGTTACTGTCTTCCATCATGCTCATTGTAATGCTGCTTAGAATTGAACTGAATCTGAGAGATTCTAAACTTCTAACCAAGGGAATTGTCTAGATCTATGTCACCATCCAACTGAGGTGTAATGCCACACAAGCCACAAATATAAGCCACATACAGTGTGGGGCAAAAGTAGATTTACAGTTGTGAAATGCAGAGTTTATTCTTGTATTATTATTCATTAATTATTGTATTATTTTCCATACGAACAACTGCAAACCTGCTTTTGCCCCTCCCTGTATATATTTTTAAATTTTCTAGATAGCACAAAAAAAATTAAAAGAAAGATTTAAAATTTAATTTTAATAATATATTTTGTTTAACCCAATATATCCAAAATATCATTTCAATATGCAGTCAACATGAAAGTCATTAGTGAGACATTTTACATTCTTTTTTTGGTACCATATCTTCCAAACCTGGTGTGTACTTTACATGTGCATGTTTCAGTTCAGACCAACCACTCCACAAGTGCTCAGTGACCAGCTGTGCCAGGCAGCCACCGCACTGAAGAGTGCAGGTCTAGGTAATTTATCATACAACTTGAAAATACTGTACAGCCATGGGAAAACTTGCTTTAAAAATAATATTTAATCATGCAAGAAGAAGCTCACTAAATGAGATTAAGTGAAAAAGATAACTTACAAAACCAAATAAAGTATGCTCCCACTTTGTCATATATAAATATATGCTTATGTTTATTTGAGTGTATAAATTGATGTGCATGCTCCTAACAGGGCCGGCCCTCTGAGGCAGTGGAGTTAGAGTGATCTTAGTTTTCCATTTTTCGCTGTGGTCATGGGTTCCTTTTTAGAGTCAGTGGAGGGATAATGTTATTTTTACAGTGTTCAGGGTTTGTTCAGCCAACCCGCACCAGGACCTGGCCGCAGCGACCCTTTGTAAATGCATTGTGCTGGTTCAAAGAACTGGCATAGCTCTTCAACTTACACTGTACCCACGTACCTGCCATAGCTCCTCCACAGACGGCAGAGTGAGCCTGGCCTCCTGGCCTTGTGCTCAGGCCTTGACTTCCTTTGGTCAATGGAATGTGGGTGGAAATGACAGTTGTCAGTTCTGTGTCTAGGCCTTAAGGGCCATCTCATATTCCTGTGTGCCCTCTTGTACCTCTGTCATTGCCATGAAAAGAAGGTGCCCTGTCCAGCCCACTGGTCCCAGGAGAGTAAGAGACACGTGGAGCAGGCCCGCATCTAACCTCTAGCTTAGACCATCAGCTCTCACACTTAGACACATGAGAAATACATACTCATTGCAGTATGTCATATAGATTTTTTTGGTGGCTGTTTGTTATAAAGCTCTAGCTGACTAATATATTGCTGCCTAACTATTTCACATGAATTCACATCTAATGAGGAAAGCAAAACCAATTGGAGTTGTAAGTTAAAAAGCTGAAATCAAGAACA